AGAGATATCTCGTCGGGGACATAACTCGGAAACCAAAAGATGTATAAACAAGAATTTGTGTAGGTAAAAAGATCATATAAATAAAAGTACAATGCAAAAGCACATGAATTCTGCCTTGCCTTATATAAGAGTTATTGTCGTTGTTCATTTTTAAACTTTGAACTTTGTAAGTAACTCAAAAACCATAAACGGTATCAACATGAAACTTTGTATGTAGATATATCTCACTAATAGAAGTGCAGTGCACAAGAACCATAACTCAACGAACTCCATATTTTGGAGTTATTGTCCTTTGTTCATGTTTACACTTCGAACTTTGTCCGGGACATAACTCGGAAGCATCAAAGGATATTACAGAGTGACAAGTTTAGCTTTTGTTGTCTGTCGTCCGTCGCTTTTTTCGTCTGTTTTACTGTTTTTGCCTTTGCCTTGTTGATCTTTATTCTTGTTATTTTTTACTGTTTAAATGCATAAAGTAAGATGCTTGTATTTAGTTTCCAATGACAACAAAACAATGGTGATAATTGAAAACCTGGTTCCGGGGCGTTGCTATGTTTTTTGTCAATCATTTTAGCTTCATGTTCTTTTTTTTCACAGATAATATCTTATTGATATTTTTGTCACCCTGACTGAATTCAACTAAACAATGTAATTTCAATTCTTTGTATTAACAAAAAATGTTCATTAACTTGTAGTTACAGTTTTACACGTTGACCACAAAATATTGTGACATACAATTTTGCGGTGTTATTTTTTACGCTTTTAACCCGATTTCAAAAGACATTTGTCAATCTACATCTCAGTGCAGATTTGTTCAGAAACAAAGTCACACGATCAGAATTTTGGGAATCCTTTGTAAAACTGAGGTCACCTTTTGCCCAGTCAAATTGAATGATTGTCTTCACAAAACCTAAATATTGACATGCACCCATGCCTCAGTTGAGCGACCATGGGACCAAGGATCCTGTTATTAGATTTGTTGCTTAGTTTACAATTTTAAACTGTGAATATTGTCTGGGACATTACTTTTAAACTTCTAGAAGTATCAACGAGAAACTGAGTCGGTTGAAAGATCTCGTTGAGTAAATGTGCATTGCAAAGAACCGTAGTGTGGGATTAAGTAGGAGGTTTGTTGGTTCAAAATAACCAGTGCTTAAAAAACAGTTCTACACATTTATCCATACAAACTTTATTATTCGATGGATGTCTTTCATATTTATGCCCCCATTTCGAAGAAAAGGGGGTATATTGCTTTGCACTTGTCGGTTCGTCGGTCCGTAGACCAAATGGTTTCCGAGTGATAACTAAAGAACCCTTAGGCCTAGGAACTTCAAACTTGGTATGGTGATTGGTCATGACCAGTAGATGACCCGTATTGATTTTGGGGTCAAGGGGTCAAAGGTCAAGGTCACATTGACCTTGTAAGCAAAAACGGTTTCTGATCAATAACTAAAGAACCTTAAGGCCTAGGAACTTCAAACTTGGTATGGTGATTGGTCATGATCAGTAGATGATCCCTATTGATTATAGGGTCAAGGGGTCAAAGGTCAAGGTCACATTGACCTTGTAAGGAAAAACGGTTTTCCGATCAATAACAAAAGAACCTTAAGGCCAACGTATTGATTTTGGGGTCAAGGGGTCAAAGGTCAAGGTCACATTGACCTTGTAAGCAAAAACGGTTTCTGATCAATAACTAAAGAACCTTAAGGCCTAGGAACTTCAAACTTGGTATGGTGATTGGTCATGATCAGTAAATGACCCCTATTGATTTTGGGGTCAAGGGGTCAAAGGTCAAGGTCACATTGACCTTGTAAGGAAAAACGGTTTCCGATCAATAACTAAAGAACCTTAAGGCCTAAGAACTTCAAACTTGGTATGGTGATTGGTCATGATCAGTAGATGACCCCTATTGATTATAGGGTCAAGGGGTCAAAGGTCAAGGTCACATTGACCTTGTAAGGAAAAACGGTTTCCGATCAATAACAAAAGAACCTTAAGGCCAAGGAACTTCAAACTTGGTATGGTGATTGGTCATGATCAGTAGATGACCCGTATTGATTTTGGGGTCAAAGGTCAAGGTCACATTGACCTTGTAAGGAAAAACGGTTTCCGATCAATAACTAAAGAACTTAAAGGCCTAGGAACTTCAAACTTGGTATGGTGATTGGTCATGATCAGTAGATGACCCCTATTGATTTTGGGGTCAAAGGTCAAGGTCACATTGACCTCTTGGGGAAAAACGGTTTCCGATCAATAACAAAAGAACCCTTAGGCCTAGGGACTTCAAACTTGATATGGTGATTGGTCATGATCAGTAGATGCCCCTATTTATTTTTGGGTCAAGGGGTCAAAAGGTCAAGGTCACATTGACCTCTTAGGTAAAAAACGGTTCCGATCAATAACTAAAAGAACCCTTAGGCCTAGGAACTTCAAACTTGGTATGGTGATTGGTCATGACCTGCAGATGACCCCTATTGATATTGGGGTTAAGGGGTCAAAGGCAAGGTCACATTGACCTTGTAGGTAAAAATGCTTTCCAATCAATAACCCTTAGGCCTAGGAACTTCAAACTTGGTATGGTGATTGGTCAATGACCAGCAGATGACCTTTTGATTTTGGGGTCAAAGGTCAAGGTCACATTGACCTTGTAGGTAAAAACGGTTTCGATCAATTAACTAAAAACGCTTAGGCCTAGGAACTTCAAACTTGTATGATGATTGTCGTGACCAGCAGATGACCCCTATTGAGTTTTGGGTCAAGGGATCAAATGTCAAGGTCACATTGACCTTGTAAGTAAAAAACGGTTTCTGATCAATAACTTAAGAACGCTTAGGCCTAGGGAACTTCAAACTTGGCATGGTGATTTGTCATGACCAGCAGATTACCCCTATTGATTTTGGGATCAAGGGGTCAAAGGTCAAGGTCACATTGATATTGTGAGTAAAAACGGTTTCTGATCAATAACTAAAGAACGCTTCGGCCTAGGAACTTCAAACTTGGCATGGTGATTGGTCATGAGCAGCAGATGACCCCTATTGATTTTGGGGTCAAAGGTCAAGGTCACATTGACCTTGTATGTTAAAACGGTTTCCGATCAATAACTAAAGAACCCTTAGGCCTAGGAACTTCAAAACTTGGTATGGTGATTGGTCATGACCAGCAGATGACCTATTGATTTTGGGGTCAAGTGGTCAAAGGTCAAGGTCCTATTGACCTTGTAGGTAAAAACGGTTTCTGATCAATTAACTAAAAACGCTTAGGCCTAGGAACTTCAAACTTTGTATGATGATTGGTCGTGACCAGCAGATGACCCCTTTTGAGTTTTGTGTCAAGGGGTCAAAGGTTAAGGTCATGACCAGTAGATACTTGATAACCCTTATTAATTGTTTGATCACTGGGTCAGAAGTCATGCATAATAACCTTATCACATGACTAATTGGCTGCTGATAGGGGGCATACATGTTTTACAAACATATCTTGTTTGTAGGAAGATACTATGTGTTGTGGTGATGAAAAAATATGGTTATAAGTGGTTTCTAAAAATAGAATTTAGTAACTTATTACCTAATATTTACTTTGTTATGTTCTTAGATTGCTCAGGAGTACTCTTTAATGGGATAAATCCAATCGTCAGGATGACACCACCCTTTGAATGCAAAGGGAAATAAAACACAAATGTTAAATAAATTTAAATCAACCAAATTTTTAATTAACTAAGTTTTTATTTACACTTAACCAAAAGTTACTAACAACTTAACAAGTTGACAAAATCTACTTTAATATTTACTGTTTGTATTTCAGCAAAAATATGATAATCAAAATAAACTAGTTAGAAAAGATTTAAACCAATTGAAAGTTGTTTAAACTGTTATAAATGAAAATATGAAAAATAACCTGAATGATTCTGTGCTGTTAAACTAATAAATCTGAATAGTAGCAAGCCCTGTTTTAATATGTATAAACAAAAATAAAGATCTAATAATTCAAGATAGCTGCCACTAAAACAAAGAAAAAATAGTAATTAATCTTAATTAATTCTGTAAAAAGAACTTACAAAAATTACTTATAGATTTATCAAAAATGTTTCAGTGAATTTAGATAATCCTTAAGGTTCATTTAAATGCCAAAGTGCCTAAAATGAATTAAATAATTAATTAATTAACCTTAGAGAGCTTTTAGAGATGTTACTTTTCCAAAAATTAGCAGCAGAATGACAAAATTGTCTGAGATGCTTGTATAAATGGACTTCTGCATCCCAGAGGGAGCTAGCATCTACCTACAGGTGGTACTGCATGTAACAACTTATCTGATTGTTCAAATGACAGCCAACCAGAATTTACTTCACAAATGCTCTAGGCTTATCAGTACTTTACATAACTATTCTAAAAATAGGTTATGATTCATGGAAAATTTTGCAACTGTATCAATTGACCATGATTATAAAAATAATAGTTTTGCAAAATATTTGTAACAATAAAACTAGTAACTAATATCAAATAAACTTATTTACAAACATATCTAAATCATGCAAATGCTAAATAAACAATATGTATCTAACTAAGTTTAAAGGCCAGTGTAAATGGACTCTATATAATTATTGTATGTAGAGAGTCTTAGGCCATGCTAAGTTAATGTTAAACTGAGTGTATCAATAAGTTCTTCAAACTTTATTTAACATTAAACTAATGAATGATCAGAATGAAATGTCTATAAAACAATACATGTTCAATATGATTAAACTTTAAAATAAACATAAATCTTCGTTAAAGTTTGAACCCTTAATATTTCTTGAAAAGTAAAATCAAGATTATATATGATTTACTTCTTGAGTAATATTATATAACATTATGTAATGATTATATAACCTGTTGTAGTTGGAATCCAACTTTACAACATATGCATTGTGTTCTACCTCTGGATTAGTTAGGCATTATTGAGTCATGTTCAGTGGTGCCAAACAAAGACATAAACAACATATATTTATTGATGATATATTTTAGATTTGGAAGGAAAATACCTTGGATGAACCAGTCGTTGGAGTTACAAGGTCAAAGCCAATTGTGGTAACAATAAATTACTTTACCCTTTTTCTCATGCAGGCTTTGTTAGATGATATTTTCATTTTATTTTTGTGTAGGAAAACAAATTTAAGTCTTATGTTGGTAACACTTCCATGCCTAGATTTTTTTATATTTAAAATGTAGCATTACCCTGACCTGTACAAAACTGATATTATTCATAATCATATTCATAATCATAGCCGTTCCAAGGCGGCGCCCCTTTGTGTTTCTCAAATGTATGTCTATGTTGTTTCAAACTGTTTTGGTGACACTTTTATTTGTGTCCCTTGTTGTTTTCTCGTCTACGGTAAATATCTCTCCTCTGACCCTAGTTTTTATTTCTTTGATTTCTTTAATTACCCCCGCCCCTTCTTCACCCGTTCTCCTCTTCCCTTCCCATGTACCCTTTGACTTTGTTGGCATATTATTCAATAAATTATTTGTTGTCTTTGAATCTCAATCAGTTACAAATTATGTATCATTTTAGTGATTTAACTGTCCGTGCCCTGGCCTGTTTTTGTTTGGGGTCCGCCTGGGCTCCTTGACACTGGTTTTTGTTGCTGGGTCGTATAGGGGTTGTGTTCATAAAACCTTACCTTGTTGATCTTGTTTATCATATTTTACTGGCCCAGTACCAAGGGTACTCTGTCGATATAATGTTGTAAGAAAAACATTTTATCCTTACTTTGTAAAACTACAATACCAAGATCTAAGATATTTTCTATGTAGCATTACCTTGTGAACGTCTGCAAAATTTATATTAACCATGCCTGGCCCCGTTTTTACAAGGAAAAGATCAGGATGATCCTGATTTTATTTCATTGTTTTATGAAACTAAAACTGATCGTATTATAATAGAATTAAATGGTACTTATTTGAAATATAGATAATTGTTTATTTGCAAATAAATCAACCTATATACGGATAAAAAATCAACAAATAACAAAGCAAATACAAAAATAATTGGATAAAAATGACGATTAATTTTAGGATCAATATCAAAATTTGGATCAACTGTAAAATGATCGTATCTTGTAAAAATGACAATAAATGTATTCTCAAATTTCATATATCAAGTCCAGTTTTAGCAAGTTAACACTGTATATTCAATGTATTAGGATAAATAATGGAGAATATGTGAGTTTGTTTTAGAATTTGATCCATATCTTGATCCATAAATCTTTGTGAACACGGGGCCTTGGGTCAATGTTGGTCCGCCCTGGGGTCATTTGAATTAGTTAGTTGATCTCTTTAAAAAAATTAATAAATACACTTAGGGTACTGAGCCTTGGAGTTCGTATCATTAAGAGAAAAAAATTAAGACAAGTTTCTTGATTTGGTCCCTGCCCTAATAGAAATAACTCAAATTGACATTTTGGCGTATATTGTCCTGTCTTTATTATGCTTTCGTTTCTCACAAGTTATTTACTAACATAGAAAAAAAACGAAAGAAAACTTGTTTTTGGATTATGACATTACTTCATAAATGCACAAATATGTTAAATAACGTAAACTTTACGTGAAGAATTTGCCTTTTGTATATAAGTTTCATTGCAAACGATCTTGTTGGTTCCAAGTTGAGTTGGAAACAAATTAACGCCTTGTTCAGTTGGGGAATACTGTTAAGTAAGATAAAAAGTCTCTGTAAATTGAAAAAACTTCTAAAAACTTGCAATAGACATGGATGTGTTAATCAATTATTTGTATAAAACTTAAATTTACTATTTCACAGTCCCGTTTTAAAAACACTAGTGTGGCACACAATTACACCCCAACCCCTCTAAAACAAGATACAAAGACATTAGATATCTAACGATTCTCCTTTACGTATGATTATTGCTTTTAAATATTGTTATCTGATATCTTTAGGATAGAGACGAACAGAAGGCTGCCAACTCTGTCGCAAAAACAAGCAATACAAAGGATAATAGGTATCGGAATGATGTTTGTAAAAAAAGGGATGAACGAAACATAACCTAAATTTACAATGTTTCTTTATTTATTCCAATGTTTCAGTCTTTGTTAAATATGTATCTAATTTTACCAATGATTTATTTTTAAAAAAAGCCAACAATTATAGTTCATCGTAAAATAACCTTCATTTTCAACGATTCATTATTCCGAAAAAAAAACAGTCTTTGGCTAGTATATCAAGTTTTACCAATGCTTTATTCTCAATAAACCCCAACAATTCGGAATATCAATTATACCGAGTTATAAACGTTTTGCTTTTTTTGCTTTATTAAACACTTTCATTCTTTCATAATAAAAACAACCTAAAGACGACAGGTAAGGAACTTTTTAGACTTTGAATTGCAACAGATTTGCATAAATACATATTTTTGTTGCCTGATCTTATATTTATTCTTTTATTTATCAGGAAACAAGTATTTGTCCTACTTAAAGATGATATACTGAGAGTGTGCATTGATACATTGTTAAAAGGAACAGGACTGATTCCAAACTACAATGAGCAAACAGTTTACGAAAACGGAAAGTTTAAGGTTTGTTTTGAAAAAGATACACGATAAATTAAAAAATTATATAATTGTTAATGTTGTCACACCAAACAATTGTAAAAGAAAGATTAAAATTTTTTGGCAAAACCATTATCATTTCTTTAAGGATGGTGTGTTGCGGTTGACGTCTTCGAAACATTCATCTTTAATTTATGTTTGAAACACAAATATAACACCTATACTAAACACGTCTTCTCTTTTCAAATAAAATATAGTTTGAAGACGAAACGTCAACAATTATTGTTGTCAGACACGGCTCAACTCGTATAGACTCAGATGTAGCAGGATGTTGCAAACACATCGCAGGTATGTATCAAACAAGTTTTCATTTAGAAATATTTCAGAAACCCCTAACGTAAAAAGAAGACAACTAACCACTAAAGATTACAGATACTTTTAAGGTAATTATACCAGTTATTTAGTTTTTGCGAAAAACTGACGAAAACCATATCCCTCATATTGTGAAATTTTTAACAGTCATGTGATGTAACATGGAAAAAATATCGTTTGAAGACCTAACTACAAATGTCATTAAGAATTCTACGGAATGCTGTTAGGGCCATCGCCTATGAATGTGTTGATCTAAAACGCGATAGTCGATAGTACGATGGTGTAAACGCGAAATTACGAAACTACGATGGTGAAAACGCGAAAGCACGATGATGAAAACGCGACAGTACGATGATGAAAACGAGACAGTACGATACTACGATGACGAAAACGCGATAAACTGTCGCGTCTTCACCATCGTACTGTCGCGTTTTCACCATCGTGATTTCGCGTTTTCATCATCGTACTGTCGAGTATCGCGTTTCAGATCAAATCATCAATTAAAAATAAAAAATCTGACAATATCATGATAAAGAAACTTCTTTTGCGATTTCATGATATACTTAAAATAAAATCTGTTAAATTATATTGGATTCCAAGTCATGTAGGTATACGAGGAAATGAAAAAGTAGATGCTTTAGCTAAACAAGCTTTAAATTTTCAAAAAACTGACTTATTGTTACCTGCTTGTGATTTTAGAACGGCCATAAATAAACTCGTTTCGTCTGAATGGAAAGCAAATTGGGACAATGCTGTCTTTAATAAACTTCATGATATGAACCCATCTCTTGATGTGTCACCATCTCTGTCTTTGTCAAACCGCCATGATCAAACAGTTCTTCTTCGATGCCGAATAGGACACACTAAAATTACCCATTCTTATCTCCTCACGAATGACAATGCCCCTTTCTGTGTAGGCTGCAATGAAAATTTTACTGTCAAGCATTTTCTTCTGGAATGTCATGATTTTTCACAGGCCCGTAACAGATTTTATAATGTTAACTCACTCAAAGAACTCTTTAATACAATTCCACCAAAAAACATCATCGATTATTTGAAAGAGATAAACTTGTATTCAAAGATCTGATTGGCTTTTTTTAATTTTTTTTTATTTTTATTTAAAACGTTTAGCATAATAGTTTAAGCCTATTTTAGCATTCGGCACGATATGGCCATTTATGTGTTGACGTGCCGTAAAATCCAAACAAACAACCAAACAAACATTCATAGGCCATAGCTCTAACGGCATTCCGGAATGCCGTTAGGGCCATCGCCTATGAATGTGTTTATCTGAAACGCAAAAGTCGATAGTTTATCATCGTTTATCGCGTTTTCATCATCGAACTGTCGCGTGTTCATCATCGTACTTTCGTGTTTTCATCATCGTGCTTTCGCGTTTTCACCATCGTAGTTTCGTGAATTTGCGTTTTCACCATTGTACTATCGACTATCGCGTTTCAGATCAACACATTCATAGGCGATGGCCCTAACGGCATTCCGTAGAAATCAACTAAATTTCATTATGCCTCTAAAGTTTTCAGAAGTCATGTAAATTTGTAAATCAATACGACAACCATGCCAAGGATTATTATATATTTGTGTCTTTTGTACATATATCAAAACAGTACCGTTTATTATTAAATTATATGACAATACGCATACGTACTTGAACAAAAATTTATAACAGAGTTACCAACGTCCCCCATCTTTGAACTGGACACAAAATATACCCTATCAAAGAATGTGTTAACCTTTTGCTTTAAATATTGAGACTAGGGTTTGGATGCTGTTTGTGCTAACATTTGTGCTAAGTACCTCCAAAATCCATCGATGGATAAAAAAGTTTTGGACCGGACAACACAAATACCCTCAAACAAAACAAATTTGCCTTTTATCACTAAGTGTGACATTAGACTTAAAGAAAGGCGTCAGGGTGTTGCGCACGACACATCATTATTGTATTGTGAAAATTTTAGCAGGGTTATTTCAAGATCCCTTGATGGATATGAAAGTTATGAACTGGAAACAAAATATACCAATATTTAGCTTTGACCTCCAAGTGTGAATTTGGATGGCAAAGTCTGGGTGTTGCGCGCCACACAACGCCTTATAATTCTCAAAATAGATAAATACAGAATCCCTAAAGAGAGCCCAACACGGCAAAATTGAAAATGTTCCAGGCTCGGTTTGATTGAGCCTGTTCATGGGCTGTACTATAAAATGCAATTTACCGTCCACGCCCCCTAGCACCGGCTTAAGCAGAATTCAACATTTAAACGTGAAATAGTAATATTTTGAATTTAGAAACATCCGCAGATGTGTTCATACGGCGGTTATCATGGAACCTTCAATGTTACACTTCCGTGCCATTCCATGAAAAGCGGCGTATGGTCCCCAAGTAATAAAAACGTGTGCCCTTAACGAGAAAACAATGGGCGGAACTTAATAAATTGGAATTTTGAAAGGGGATCAGAGGCTATGAAGCCTGCATATCACAGACAAGACGTCAAAAGACAAATTTTAAAAGCAGGCAACATATCCTAAGGGTGATTCAACATTATTCAAGTAGGACTATTGGAACCACCCATCTAGAAAATGCCGAAAAGTTGAAACTAAAAATATCACAAGCACAACAATAATGTCGTGCTGGACGATCTTCAAGGATAGAAAATATAACATCTTTGATTAAATGTACGGGGAGACTTTTTAAAGCCGCCACACGGCACAAATAACACGGATGTGATCATAAAATAGATAAATACAGAATCCCTAAAGAGAGCCCAACACGGCAAAATTGAAAACATTTGTGCTGAATTATTAAAAGAATCCTTAATCTATGAAGAAGTTAAGAACCGGACACACAATATACCCTATAACAGGAAATGTTAATCTCTGACCTTCAACTGTTACCTTGGCCTTGAAGGTATGCGTCATTTTTTTTAATTATTGTGGACATTTATGCCAAGTGTTTTCAAAATCACTTCATGAATAAGAATGGACCAGACACGAAATATACCCTTAAATAGTAAATTTTGACCTTTAATCACCAAGTTTGACCTTGACCTTTCTTACCACAATCTTTGTCATTATATGCTTTTGTACTTGTTTACGATATTAAACGACACTTGCAAATTATGTAATATTTTAATATTCTTGCATATGCATTGTAGGAAAAGTATTTTCTGTGATTTATTATGAAAGTTAATCGTGTTTAATATTTTCTTATTGATTTGTTATTTGTAATAGTATTTGGCATGTCTGCCCATACTTTATCCGCCCTTAAACCTCTCACTCTTTGTATTTTGTATTTGTTCTTTTGACATTATCATTATTTATGAAATATTTTAATGAATGATAACCAGGGGTTTGTTTTATTTTTAGATTCGGATATGAAACGAACTGTTGTTGTTATCATCAATGAATACGCCAATAATAAAAAGGGTGAACACGGGGAGATAATAAAGCCAAACAGCTACGATATTGATAATATTAATGATCTAAAGAACGTTGTTGTATTTAATTATAAGTGTTGCATTGAGAAAAAGCAATGCAAACGCTGTAAAGATTCTATGGATGAATTCAAGCAGCATGCAAGTTCACCAAACTACAAATAAAATGAAAGACGACATGCACTTTTATCATAATGTTATTTTCATATATCATGATTTGACTTGTTTATGAAATGAAGATGTTTTGTTATATACTCTATTCTATCTATTCATTGGTGCATATTAATAATATGAAACAGGGCAAGCTTATTCCCGTTGGTCATATTCCATTGAATATTGTGCTCTTCATAGATGTATTGCATATGAAACAAAACGTATCTGTCAATATAAATCTTATTAAATGAAATTAATTTGTTTGATTCCTTCTTTTTATCCCCTTTTCAAGCATTTCATAACTGGTTCTGATCACATCTCGAAAGTAGATCCGAAAGATTATCAGAAGTGAGAGGCAAATGACAATTAGACTCAGTATTCGACTTCATATGTTTCTGAGAAATTACGCCCTACCCAAGCAATACTTATCCTATATCCTGCATATTGTGTTAATGCGCTATATTAAATGTACATAGTTGTCTTATTGAAAACAGTATATTATAAATTATACAAATCAATTCAGAGTTATTTTTCAACATAAATACTGTGACGTCATGACTTGATGCTGCCACGATGGAGAGCGTTGTAAATAGTTTTTCTTTGAATTGTGTTTATGGAAACCTAGAATTCTTGAACACTAATTGTTTGTACTATTTCGTGGGTTTGATTTCACTGCTTACATGTACTATTGCACCATTTTATTTAATAATTATAATAATAATAATAATTTAGGCAATAACTTTGAATTACTTACACTTAGTATTTTATTTTAAATGCAATCCTAACTTAGGTTTCCACATAACGTTTCTAAATTTAAAGTTTGATTACAATATCTCATTCTTAACTAATGTTATCGTCCGGAAACCATTGTTCAAATTTTAGTTACAGTGACCTAGACCCCAGGGAGTCAGAAAGCAAGCCCATCCAAGGTCTTCATATACGTTTGCTATATACCAAGTTCAATTACAATATCTTATTCTTAACTCTTCTTTGATTTTTCTGCAAAACATTTCTTTTTCTTTTACTTTTGATATGCTATTGAACTTTGCCATACTTCCGAAGTATCTAGTGAATTTAGGGGTCAAGGTCATATTTAAGCATGTCAAATAATAGACAATATGCAATTGCCTTGGGACCTGTGTGAAATATTTGTTTCAAAAATAAAATAATTTTTACTTAAACAAAACTAGGTATTTACTGCATTGCATAATCGTGATAAACTTTAAAATGCAGTTACATTTATTTTTCTTAAATACTATCTTATCAATTAAGCATTACGAATTTCAAAAAAAAAACATAAATAACTTTACGATTTATATCATCTTTTTACTTATGACGGGAATTTTAATGTCCTTATGATGTACTTTTCATAAATATCTCTTCAAAGCTTGCTAGAGTTCATGACCTCTTATCATTTCATAAATATCTCTAAAAGGCAAATATTTCTCTTGCTAGGTCATGATATGAAGACTTACTCCAAGCTATTGAATCTTTTTATATAAACAAAAGGGCCAAAATGTCCCAAGATCGCTGTCCTAACCAATCGACCTTGTCCGAGCAATGTCTCACTGAACAAGTTTGATGACACTTTGAGTAAAAAATGTAACCATATTTACAAGGTGTTTTACCATAGTGGTGAGTGCGATCTAGTTTTGACCCCAGGTGTCCCTAGAAATGATCAAAACAAACTTTTAGACAAATTTTGTTTACAAACCAAAGGAAATTAAACCATTAGGCCTTCGTTTAAAAGATGATTTAGATAAACTTAAAATTAATCCAGACAGTATCCTTCAAAATGACGATGAGGATGTTCCACCTTGGACTTATAATTCCCCGGAAATAAATATTAACCTTTCAAATATAAAAAAGGCATCAAATTCACCTGAATATTTATATAAGAGAAGTTTCTAGCAATTAAGGAAGAACATGAAGATTTTATACATATTTATACGGACGGTTCAAAAAAAGGTTGCAAAGTAGGTGCGGCTGTGTTTGAAAATAATTTTACATCTAGTATGAGGTTACCAGATAATGCATCAATTATTACTGCTGAAGCAAAAGCTATCGATTTAGCATTGTCATACATAGCACAGCATACCCACGATAAATTTGTGATATTTTCTGACTCGCTTTCTGTTTTAATATCCATTAAAAATAAAAAATCTGACAATATCATGGTAAAGAAACTTCTTTTGCGATTTCATGATATACTAAAAACAAAATATGTTAAATTATATTGGATACCAAGCCATGTAGGAATACGAGGAAATGAAAAAGTAGATGCTTTAGCTAAACAATCATTAAATTTTCAAAAAACTGACTTATTGTTACCTGCTTGTGATTTTAGACCGGCTATAAATAAACTCGTATCATCTAAATGGAAAGCAAATTGGGACAATGCCGTTTTTAATAAACTTCACAATATAAACCCATCTCTTGATATGGCACCATCTCTATCTCTGTCAAACCGCCGTGATCAAACAGTTCTTCTTCAATGCCGAATTGGACACACTAAAATTACCCACTCTTATCTCCTCACAAATGACAATGCCCCTTTCTATGTAGGTTGTAATGAAAATTTTACTGTCAAGCATTTTCTTCTTGAATGTCATGATTTTTCACAGGCTCGTAATAGATTTTATTCTGTAAATTCACTCAAAGAACTTTTTAATACAATTCCATCAAAAAACATAATTGACTATTTAAAAGAGATAAACTTGTATTCTAGGATCTAATTGGCTCATTTCTATTGTCATTTACAATGTTTTACATAATATTTTAAGCCTATTATAGCATTCGGCACGATATGGCCAGTTATGTGTTGACGTGCCGTAAAAATCCAATCAAACAAAATTTGCAATCATAATTCAAACTTCACTTGTTAATGAAATATCGCGTTAAAACTATGTCGTCGGAATGTCTCGAAAATCGATCATTAAGAAAACAATTGTCAAGATTAAGACGAGAAACTGTTTAAAACGTAGAAAAAGATTATGGCTATCAAGGAAAAAGTTCAAGAAAGCCACAGCATATTTATATAAGACATGTGCGGCTTATTATGAGGAACGAAGATTGAGGATCGAGGACAAGTTATATAAAGGAGTAGTATATGCGTCTCTTTAGCCCCAAGACTGCGCATGCGCGGCGGCCATTTTGTTTTCTATTAATAGCTACTCATTTGCATAAAAGAAATGACCTCACTACACATGCGCGGCGGCCTTGTTGATTTACAGACGCGCGGCGGCCATATTGGATTTTTTATTTAGAATGACATCATCGTTCTATTTTGAGAATGTGATCATCCGTCTATTTTTATAAATTTATTTTTAATCTCCCGGAAGTATACGGAGCTGACTCGTATACACGATCTTAGGGCTTGAATCGCGGACATTGAGGGTCAGGTCCTCGGCCCTAGACGGAGAGATAATTACCATTATGACAGATAAAAGAAATGTTTGTAAATAGATACGTGCTTAATTTATAAATAAAAAAACAAATAGTTTTTTTTTTAATATGTTCAAAATAAATAATATTTATAAAATATAACTCGTTTACTTACCTACATTTAGTAAGGAAATGACTGTCATAGCGTAACGTTCTTGTAGACTGCGCATGATCTATTTTTAGTCGCGGTATTTCACAACCACCAGGAGCTATTTCATCAGCCCCACGCGGGTGTCAATGAAAGAAAAAGGCATTAAGTACAGTCGCCGCTCAGTCTAGATTCACAATACCTAGCGGCACTATGTTGAACAAAAACCCTTTATCCTTCGTTACTAAATATAACTTTTTATTAATCACAAAAGAATCTATTATCCTTTCAAACGCAGCGACCGTCAAGTACAGTCGCCACTTAGTCTAGATTTACAATACCTAGCGGAACTATGTTGAACAAAAACCCTTTATCCTTCGTTACTAAATATAGCTTTTCATTAATCTTATCCTTTTAAATGCAGCGACCATTAAGTAAAAACTCATTAACGAGAAATTGCTACGCATGCATTAACATATTTTAACACTTCATATATTGTACCGTTCCTTTTAAGTGCATGCTACGGTAAACTGATTGCATATTTTAAACACGGTTGCCCTTAGCAACTGGTCAAATTTTGTGATTTTTATGAACACTTCAGATTCTTATTTTTTATACAAAAATAAATTTTTAAATGAATAACTTATGTATAAGAAAGTTGTAAACTGATTTTAAATGAAATTTATAATACATTTAAGCTATAAACCGGTTTTTTTATCGTTTGGGCAACCGTTTACGCTCAAAATTTTTGAGATAAAGTCGTTATAAGATAGAATAAACCGAAAGCTTTCGTTTTGACCCGGGGTTCTCGATTCGATTTTCAGCCGTTTTTGAGTTATGACGCAAGAGCGATTTTAAACCCTAAATTGCGAAAGTCAATAAAAACGTTAGAACTTTTTACCAATCGATTCGTCTCGTCGCGCTGATTAAGAAAATATATAGTTTTATGGGTTTATCTTTTACCGTTTTCGAGTAATTCGAGTTTAAAGTCACCGGAAGTGACGTCACAGAAATTTCAAAATCGATTTTTTCCGTTATTACTTGACCGAATATATACGTGTTTGGTATCGTTGGAAAGCATTTTACCACACCTGTTACCGGACGCTATTCAAAAAGCCATTGGACCGGAACTGAAATCACTGAAGCGTAAAAACGTGTTTTCTGTACCACGTCCGGACCGAACTAAGGCGTGTTTGGTATCAAACGAAATGTCTTAAGCCGCTCTTTATGAATACGGACTAAAATCGAAATTAAAATCACTCATGCGTAAAAATCATTAAAATAACTAAAATAAGCTTACCCCCAGTCTTTACTCCTTGCCTATCAAACTATTTATGACAAGTTACTATAGCCTATCGTTAAACGGTCCAGTTACGACAGGTTTAAACCGGTATTGCTATTTTTGATTAGCCAATGAAATTGAAGAACGAGGTTTTTAAACCATTTTTTTAAAGTTCATAAAACCCTTAGATTTATATGCCGTTTGAAAGATCTCTGCGAGTAGATACAGAAAATGTATTATTATATGGATCTATCTTTTACTGTTTCTGAGATAGGAGAGTTTCAATATGGCAGACAAAATCACTCATGCGGAAACACGCGCATAACTTTTTCGTTTATGAACGAAACATAGTTATGTTTGGTATCAAATTGAAGGTCTTGACGAGTACATTTTAGTCACGCGATCAAACCGGAT